GAACGACCTCTACAAGGAAAACTATAAACTTCTGAGAAAGAGATCGAGGAAGACTATAGAAAGTGGAAAGATCTCCCGTGCTATGAGATTGTAGAATCAACATAGTAAAAATATCTTCTATATCCCAAAGTAGTCTACATGTTTAATGCAATTCCCATCAAAATCCCAATGACATTCATCAAGAGATTGAAAAATCTACCCTAAATTCATGGAAACACAAGAGAGCCACGAAACCAAGGCATACTCTGCAAAAAGACAATGCTGGAGGTATCACAATACTTACTCAAACTATATACAAAGCAATAGCAATAAAAAAGCATGGTACTGGAACAAAAACAGACATGAAGACCAGTGGAACAGAATAGAGGACCCAGATAGTGAAATCCACACAACTATGACCACTTATCTTTGACAAGTGCTAAACATACACAATGGAGAAAAGACAGCCTCTTCAACAAATATTGCTAGGAAAGTGGTTATCTGCCGTCAAGAAAACTGAACTAGATCCATGTTTATCACCTGTACTAGTATCAACTCAAAATGTATCAAGGACCTTAATATCAACCCCAAACTCTAAAGCTGGTACAGGAAAGAGTAGAAACCTGGGAAGTAATAGGTATAGTCAAGACTTCCTCAATAGAACCCAGCTGCTCAAGCAAAAATAGAGATAGCATAGATAAATGGGACTTCATAAAACTAAAAAGTTCTGTTCACAAAAGAAATGGTATGTAAACTGAAAAGCCCACTCACAGAGTGGGAGAAAAATATTTTACAGCTATACATCAAAGGACTGATCAAATAGATTACAGGAAAAACAAAAAACTAAACTTTCCCAAAGATTAATGAACCAATAAAGAATGGCAAGAACTTTCTCAAAAGAGGAAATTCAAATGGCAAACACACATGAAAAATGCTCACCATCCTCATAGCCACTAAATGAAATATGCCAAATCAAGACCACACTAAGATTCACACCTAATCCCTGTTAGAATAGTATCATCATTAAACAACACCACTAATAACAAGTGTTGGGTGAGGATGTGGGGAAAAAGGAACCCTTATATACTGCTGGTGGGAACGCAAGCTGGTGCAAGCACTCTGGAAAAAAATTTGAAGGCTTCTTAAAAATCTAAACATAGATCTGCCATATGATCCAGCATTCCCACTCCTGGGGATATACCCAACGGAATGCAACTCAGGTTACTACAGAGGCACCTGCACACCCATGTTTATAGCAGCACTATTCACAATAGCCAAGTTATGGAAATAACCAAGATGCCCCACTACTGATGAATGGATCAAGATAATGTGGACTGTACATGATGGAATTTTACTCGGCATGAAGAAGAATGCATAAATGGATGGAATTGGAGACTAATCATTCTGAGCAAGGTTAGCCAGGCTCAGAAGACCAAAAATCCTATGTTCTCCCTCATATGCAGACTTTAGGTCTAGGCCAAATATAGCAATGTGGTTGGACCTGGGTCAAGATAAGGCACATACAGGAGATATGGGAATAGGTAGGAAACCTAAAACATGAAAGCGTTTGATGTCCCCACTCCAGAGGAACTAATACAGAAACCTTAAACAACAAGGTTAACATGAGTAGGAGATCAGAGCCAGTTGGAATGGTCGTTAGAGAAATGAATCAACTTGGTACAGATGTAACACACTTGTACATGGAAGCAATGCTAGGACTCTCTCTGTATAGCTATCCTTAACTCAACTAGCAAAAACGCTATCTTTCTTATTATTGCTTATGTCTACTCTTCAACAAAATTAGACATAAGGGCAGAACAGATTCTGCCTGGAAGTGAGGGGGGTGGGGGGAGAGGTTGGGGGAGAAGGGCGGGGGGGAGAAATGACCCAAACAATGTATGCACATATGAATAAATGAATAAAAAAAGGAAATATCAAATTTAAAATGCCCATCCAACATTACTGTGTTATTATTCTCCTTGCCTCTTTTATTTTAGGAGAGCTAATCTCTCTACTACCCTCCACTATATGAACTTGCATTATAAGGGAAAATGTACTAAAAGATCATTAAGGTAACTTGAATCTCTACCTCTAAGCTTTTCTCTCCTAACTACCTTACATACCTCCAACAAATCTCAGGAAGTAAAATGCCTAACAAAATTGTTTGAAGCTAAACACATCTACCAATCTATGGCCCACAAAATGGTCTACAAACAACTTTATAGATACAAGTAACCCCAGGTTTTATACTTTCTCAGCAAAACCCTGGGCAGACAGGAAGACAATTATTATAGCCAAAAACCTCTTTATAGCTCACATAAATCTAAATCCATCAAATCACAAAAAGAATGCTCTTCAAAAGAGAATTCTCCAGTAGTTTTGCCACTAACTTTCTAGAATCTTTAAGCAAAACGTGTGTGTGTGTGTGTGTGTGTGTGTGTGTGCATGCATAATGTCCAAATTTGAAACTATAAAAGCAAATGAACATTAAACAAGTAACTTGCCAAGACTTGGGCTCTCCAAAGTGAAGATAGTTAATGCTGTAAAGGTCCATGTCCTCAGTGTGCCACGCGAATGTGGTTTTCCACATGCCAAAATAGAGATAAGGGGTATTCACACCCTCAATAGAAATACCGCAGTCTTCTTCAACCACATCCCAGGACTGTATTTAGATGAGCTATGTTCCATTCATTCACACCCTAGAGCCGAGAGGGAGAGAAGAAAGAGAAATCAAATGTTAATAAACTTAAAAGATCACATTTAACTTATGAAATCACCATCTGCCATTATTATATCGTATTGTAATTCATCGAAAAATGAAAAATAAAGCAATTATTATCAAGAGCTACATTCATAATCCATTTTAATTAATTCAAGATTACTACCAAAGCAATGTGGTTTCTATGTACAACTGGTAAAAATTTTACTCAAAAACTTCCTGATTCCAAATGAAAAGGAAAGTTTAAGGCCCCACTGTCCACTTACAAAAATTCACTGACTCAAAGCAGATGAACTGGTATGTGATTTCCATTTTTGTTTTGAGTTTTCTTATTTTTTTGCACGATGGTTAGAGATCATATGCAATATCAAACCCATTATAAGAAACCAACACATAGGCTATGAGAGTGGCACAAGTGATAAGAGCGTGCCTGGCAAAGCATGAGGCCCTGAGTTCAAACTCCAGTGCCAAGCCCTACCCCAAAAAAAGAAAACAGCACATCCATTTCAATTGTAGTGATCATCATTTCATAAAAATTCCACTCTAGATACTGGGAAACGCTTGACACGTTTCTAAATCCACAGATCATTGTTTTGCAGTTCCTTCAAACTAATATGTTAATCTCCTACATTGACAGGAAAATCTAGCACATAATTACTACTAAACATAACTCATCTAAAAACTCTGGGTAAAGTTGCTGGACTACGGTATTTTACATACCCCACATAGCTAGTAACAGGAAGGAGAGAGATTAGAATCAATGGTAAAAAAAAGATTAAGTGATGGGAAGAGATTCTGGTTTTATTAGAACTTACCAACCAAATACTAATTCACTGTAGTGCACAACTGCCTAGAAATTTTCACAAACTATTATTTTTCCCATATGCTTTTCTCAAGATCAAAGTCTAAATATCCTAGATTGGGCACTTTCCTATGCAATCATGGGAAAACTACAATGCCTTTAAATCCATTTCAACCTCCACAGGGTCTAGTACAGAGGGGCATTAAATTCTCTTATATGCACTGAAAAGGCCCACTCCAGAACTGTGCCAGTGACTTCAAGTATGAGCCCTGCTATTATTTCCTTATGATACTACAAGTGAATTTTAGGGTTGTTCTGTTTTCATTTTTGGTCTTTAAATGATTCTTTAATCTGTATGCTAATCTTCCTCAAGTTTTGGGTTAGGAAAATTATTGATGGAGCAATAAATGAAGAAAAGGACATAATTTAATCCCTAAAATCCCCCTAAGTAACCATTCCATCTTTAACTTAAGCCCTACACTGAGATGTCTGTTGTTTGGATATTGAGCAAAGTAGATGTCCTTTAAGCAAAGATCCAAGGTTCCAACTTAAGATACCTCATAACAGTTCAATAGAACTATGTAAAATATTTTATCTCTTATTTATTGATGCATCTCTTAACTCTAGTCCAATCAGACTCAGTCCAATCACTCTAATATAGAGTCCTATTTAAAGTCATTACAGAAGCAATGGAATCGAAGAAATAAATGAGCACATAATACAGAAACCATTTTTAAACTGGATGAGCTTGCAAATTTATGAACAACTATTTTACTGAAATTCCTACTTATGAAAACATGTAAGGTTTATTTCAACTGATACTGTCTTCAAAAGTAATCAAGGCTGATCCTGGAAATCCTGGACCTGTGGGTCTAAGAAGAGGAGGGTAAGGAACAAAAAATCAGGGAGCACTACTGAGATTCTAGACTTTCTTCATGAAACCATGAGGGTTATAGCATTCTCTGAAAGATGCTCAGGACTGCTAAAAAGCTAATGAACACAAAATCTTTGGAAAATAAAACTTTCCAAACTCTAAAGCCAAAGTAATAACACCCTACTATTTTCTGGAAATTTTTTACTAGAAAGCCTCCCAAAACAACTGTCACACCATGTGAGAAATGACCCAAAAAAAAGCCCTTGAGGTTCAGTAGTGAAGCTCTACCCATGATGAACAAAAAAACACATCTCAGCAATGCTTTTGCTAAAGTAAAATGATATAATTTCCATTAAAGAGTTGTGCAAATATTTTAAATGACCAAAATTAAGAGAGACAGAAATCTCATCACTTCAAAATTCTTTCTCCAATTTTTGTCCCTACTACTAACTGACTTGGTTGTCCTCAAGGACCAGCTCCAGACAGGTTCTACTGAAAAGTTTGGACTTCTCTCACACATGTAGATGAGTACACCTGGCTTTCTCATCCAGGTGAAGTATGATACCATGTAACACCTCTTTGATACTACAGATCCATGTACAGTAAACATACTCAACCAGTCCTATAAA